GGAACTCATTGTTTTTCTATAGTGCCCCTTCGGACTATAATGGAACTTTGGTAAATTCGATGTAATTTTATTGTGCATACACCATGTATAAAATGTTTTTCATATCTCGCCGAACTTCAGAGTTACGGCAAACTTTGTTAAATATTGCAAATATTAACGTTGTCGAATGATATATTTTTCGACACAGTTGGCGATACTGTTCAAATTAAATTATCGCATCTTTAGCAGTTTTTCATTTATCCCCAACAATTTACTCACAAAAACGGAAATTTTTAGGATGTATTAGAATTTTTTGCCGATAAACGACACACCCTGTATATAATTCAAACGATGTTCGAATAGAGGTTATAGCCTTGGATCTCCCACCTTTCCCGATATATGAATTTTTTCAATAGGATAAGTATTTTTCGAGAAAATACTTATTTTTTGAAACATGCAGTACGTAGTAATAGTAAATGACGTCATCGCGAAGGCGAGAAATGGTGAATTTCACTTGGATTTTTGCAAATATCTCAAGCAGCGTATGTGCCTATAACACTGTTTAAACGAAGAACGATTTTCAGGGTCTTTTATTGACCCAAATCTCCCCTATTTCTTGGTTAACAAATTTTGCCGATAGGGTTAATAGTTTTCTAGAAAATATTTTTTTTCTGGAAGGCAAGACACACCAAAAGAATTTTCAAAAATGTTTAAAAAATACTTTGCGAAATTTGAGCAAGTCTTTTTTTAACATATGAAATGCGGGCGTGGACTTCTACCCTAACACCCTGTTAATTTTTGAATATAGCACTTAGTATCTGTACAACAGGTGAAAACCTTAAATGCAAAAGCTTTAGCTGTCAATGCGGGCTATATCTTCATGAAAAAGAAACACGGTCTTTAAATTATAGCCACATATTCCAGTTTTTTTTTTTATTTGCGGCGCAATCTGTACATTTTTTAAAAATTTTGAAGAATGGAATTTTATGGAGCCGAATCTTCTGCCGATAACTTCAAATGTCGGACACTTGTCGTGTTTCATAGCGATGTCCAAAAAACAGTCGAAAATTGGACTATTAGAAAGGAGCGAAATTTGAACCGGCTAGGTCAAACCGTTCGGAAGTTATCGCGGAAAAACAGGAACAGAGAACGGAGAAGGGACAGACCAAAAAAATTTTTTTTCAACGCTGATCATTTGTGTATGGTCTGCTCATAGATATAAGAAAGTGACCAATTGCTTTCGAATGGGATTATCCAAGGGTGGTCATTAACATACAATGCAACAAGATTATTACCTAAAGTTTCGGAATTAAAATTCAAGTAAAATTGTGGTCCGTAATAGAAAATAATATTATACCTACCTGTGTTTAATATTCTTTGGTTTGGTTTATTAGTAATCATTCTTATTTCGTGTGTAATACAGCGTGTGTTGAATCGTGTGCGAATTATGCAAAATATTTGCGAGCCTATTGTATCTCAGGAGATGCTCCCGCCGAAATGTAGAAAACACTATTCTATTCAGACTACGGAAGTTATAAACAATGTTTATTTGACTCTCATTGAACGTGGTGTCAGCAAGCAAGCATCTTTGAAAGAAACGGTCATATTGACGAAAAGTCCAACATCAACGATATGGAAAATTGTGAATAATCCCATTTCAGCGAGGAAAAAAAGAAGCGATGATGACATTTTCTCGAGTGTAGATGAAAGTTATCAAGATATAATACGGCGTAAAATTTACCAGTTATACGAGGAACAAAGCGTGCCTACATTAGATATCTTAATTAGGAGGCTTGAAAAAGATGAAACCAGTGTTAAATGTGGCAGAACTACCTTATGGAAGTGTATTCAACACATGGGTTTTAGATTTAAAAAATTGACAAAAGGCAAGTTTTAATGGAATCTTTTAGAATTCGGAAATGGCCAGTGGAATATCTAGAAAAAATTAGGATTTACAGAGAACAACAAAGGCCATTTATTTACTTGGATGAAACCTGGTTCGATACTTATGATACCTCGGAAAAGGGTTGGGTTGACTCAACTGATAAGTGTAAAACAAACGCGCCGTCAAAAAGAGGTAAAAGAATAACTGTTTTGCATGCCGGTTCTAAAGATGATGATTTGGCGATTCCAAATCCGTCGGTGTTGTGGCCTTCTTTTCTACTCGAAGCGGTTCCCTATAAAAATTATCAGTTTGAACGGTAAACGAAGAAAGGAAATACGTGGAAGGGAGGCAATTGGGCACTCCTTAGGAACATGAGAAGAAAGGGGAGAAATGAACTATTATTTCGAGTGGAATGCCTAAAATTACATCACCTTTTAAATGTCTATAGATTACAAAGAAAAGAATTGAATACCTCAGATCTGCTCTTCTCTCCAATAATTCCCACATTGGATATATTAAGTGATCAATCGAAAATACACTTCACCACAACCTTGCAAAAAGACAACAACACCATCTTCGAAAAATGTCAGCTAGACGTAATCTTTGAAGTATAAAGTCTGTTCATAGATATAAGAAAGTGACCAATTGCTTTTGAATGAGATTATCCAAGGGTGGTCATTACCATACAATGCAACAAGATTATTACCTAAATTTTTGGAATTTAAATTCAGGTAAAATTGTGGTCCGTAATAGAAAATAATTTTATACATCTCTGTGTTTAATATTCTTTGGTTTGGTATACTACTACTCGTGTGTAATACAGCGTGTGTAGAATCATGTGCGAATTATGCAAAATATGTGCGAGTCTAGTATATCTCAGGAGATACTCCCGCCCAAATGTAGAAAACACTATTCTATTGAGACTAGGGAAGTTATAAACAATGTTTATTTGACTCTCATTGAACATGGTGCAGCAAGCAAGCATCTTTAGAAGAAACAGCCACATTGACGAAAATTCCAACATCAACTGTATGGAAAATTGTGAATAATTCCATTTCGGCGAGGAAAAAAAGAAGTGATGCTGACATTTTCTCGAGTGTAGATGAAAGTGATCAAGATATATTACGATTTGGGTTGACTCAACTGATAAAACAAACGCTCCATCAAAAAGAGGTAAAAGAATAACTATTTTGCATGCTGGCTCTAAAGATGTTTGGATTCCAAATGGACTTTCTCTGCGAAAAATATTAAAGATTATTTTCTTGACTACCATGAAGGCAACATCGCTGATTTACTTGAAAGTTAGTTTCAAAACAAACTGATTCCAAACATTCCTCCTAATAGCGTCATTGTAATGGTCAATGCAAGTAATCACAGTAGACAGTTGATTAAAACCCCTTCCTCATGTGACACAAAAGCAAAAATCCAAAACTACATGTATAATAGCGACATTTATTTTCACAAAGATTATACCAAAAAGCAATTAATTGAGGTTCTACAAAGCTTCAACCTACAAAAGGAATACGTCTGTGATAATTATGCAAAAAATCTAGTGTTAAGGCTTCCACTTTACTACTGTATATTTAATCCCATTGAACATGTTCGGCACAAACTGAAATCTGCCATTCGTCATAACAGTGTTTTCCCCGTGTTAACTCCAATGTCCTCAAACTTATAGTACTTTCGAAAAGAATCGATTTCATCGATTTTTCCAAAGTAACAAAAAGTTTATCAAACGTGTTGCATACTATACTTTTTCCATGAGCGTTAGTTTTTGGGTAAATTTTTGCAAAAAAAAACGTATACCTTCACCGAAATGTCCGAAGTGGCTCGAATTTTGTGGGAGACGAAAGTGATGCGGTAAAATGACACACGCCGCATTCGCCGAGTTTTTCGAGAGATGTCTCGACTCTCGCTCGCGCGTAAGTTTAGTGCACGTTCGGGATCGATTCTCAGATACCCGCGACGTGCGTCTAGTGAAAGGTAGCGGCCATGCGACGGTGCCGGCCTGATTAATACCCTCGCATAACAGTCACATGCTAATGCGACCATGTTATTAGTATGTAATAAAGTATATAGTTATTCGTTGGGCAGTAATTCTCACTGCGGGGAACCGCAGATCGCCCGCTGCTAAACCTCACCTTTAATGGTAATATTTATGCCACGGCTATGGCTTCGACCCGGTCGGATGCTGATATATCGCCGTCTTCTGCCGTTGGTGGCTCTGCGAGCGACGCGACCCGACGATGAAAACATATTTCTGTAATCGTTTTTTTTTCTCCTCTCTGCCGAAGAGTCCACGAACCTCTTAACCTGTCACGAAAACATAAACGTAAAATATACGCGTAATTGATTTCGTTTCGGAACGTCGTCCACTAAACCAACACTCGATTATAGTTTTAACGCGGCTTTTGACGACATTTTTGCTGTAGTTTCAAACGTCTGAAAGTCTTAAGTCTAGAACGGGGAAAAAATGGTCTTTTTAACCTCCAAAAGCTCTTTAATGGTACAAAAGTGCTTAATAAGGACAATTTTTGAGGAATAAGTCAAAATATCTGACATCAGTTGAAACTGAGAAGCAAGTCAGAAGTCAGAAGAAACAATTCGGAATTTTCAAGTAATATTAATAATAATAATAATATATCGTTATTTAGCATTCGCAAAATAGAAATTTTAAATATAAAAAGGTAAGCAGAAAATATGAGCTAAGCACACAAATCAAAATTTGGGCAATACGTCTTAAGTATTTTAACTTTATTGAGAGTCTCACAGTTTTCAATATTATGCGGTAAATTGTGAAAATGGTTTAGGCCTTTATGTAATATCCAGTTTTGTAAATGACGTGCAAATGCAAATTACACTCGATTATACTTTTAACCTCAGAATTTTGGAGAAATAAGTCACAATTTCCAAAAAATAAGTAAAAATTTCTGAAAAACAAGTCAGAATTCTCGAAGAAAATGTCTGAATTTCTGATTTACTTCAAAATTTCGGAGAAATATGTCACCGTTTCTGAAAATTAGGTAAGAATTTCTGACAAATAAGTCATAATTTTCAAAAAAAGTCAGAATTTCTGACTGTAGAGAGAATTTGGCAGAAAGAAATCACAGTTTCTAAAAAATAAGAGTCGAAATTTTGGAGAAACAAGTAACAGTTTCTGAAAAATAATTAAGAATTTCTGAGAAGCAAGTCAGTGTTTTCGAGAAAGAATTTGGAATTTCGACTAAAGTCAGAATTTGGGAAGAATAAGTCACAGTTTCTAAAAACTAAGTAAGAATTCGCGAGAAACATGTTAGAATTATTGATTGACTTCAAAATTTCGGAGAAATAAGCCACCGTTCCTGAAAAATAGGTAAGAATTTTTGACATATAAGTCAGAATTTTCAAAAAAAGTTAGAATTTCCTACTGTAGATAGAATTCGGCAGAATGAAATCACAGTTTCTAAAAAATAATAGTTGTAATTTCGGAGAAATAAGTAACAGTTTCTCAAAAATAAGTAAGAATTTCTGAGAAACAAGTCAGAATTTTCGAGGAACAAGTCGAAATTTCTGAATTACTTCAAAACTTGGGAGAAATAATTCACAGTTCCTGAAAAATAAGTCACAAATTCTGAGAAACCGGTCGGAAGTTTGGAGAAGTAAATTAGACGAAACTTTTTTTTATTCACAGAATTATTTCTACAATCACTTACTTTCTTTTTCTTTTGTTTACATTTCATTTCTCTACTAGGGGTTGTCTTGTTATAAATTGTATTGTCGAAAGGTGTTTAATATATTGATCAATTATGTAGGGTTAATGTTCAGTAGCTGACTTAGTCAGCTAGACTTCTCCCTTTGAAATTTAAGTATTATATACTGTGTATTATGTATATTATATATATCTCAATTCTCAATAAAGACTATCATTATTATTACTAGCAAATTTCATTTTCTCATCTCAAAAGGTGTATAATATATTGATCAATTGTGTTGGGTTAATGTTGAGTAGCAGACTTAGTCAGCTGGACTTCTCCCTTTGAAATTTTAGTATTGTATCCTGTGTATTAAGTATATTATATATATATATATATATATATATATATATATATATATATATATATATATATATATATATATATATATATATATATATATATATATATATATATATATATATATATATATATAAGAGTATATGATGTATTGATCAATTGTGTCGGGTTAATGTTGAATAGCTGACTTAGACTGCTAGACTTCTCCCTTTGAGAGAGTCTGTATATTTTGTATATCTCAATTCTCAATAAAGATTATTACTAGTAAAGTTCATTATCTCATTGGTTTCAAAAGTTACGAGAAGATGGTAAATACGAAAGTTGTAAGAATCGTTCTGGACGGCACCGTACCAAGTACCAATTATTACGATCAGTGCATTTTCCGCAGTAACACGCACACGGAAGCGGTCATTCGACTCATTTCGTGCGTGGAACACCAACCTACCGTGCCGAAATAACCTGCTAACTGTCACTACGTGCCGCTAGCGTGATGGCGTTCCTCGCGACTTTGTTTCTGCTATCTCGTTGCGTAAAATCGCAAGAAATCGGCTCGATTCTAGATACCGACTCGCTGTCGGAGTTACCTCTCGATAAATTGCTGAACGTGAAGAAGAACTTGAATGAACTCACCCATCAGAACCTGCCCCAAAATAGAAGCGACCATTTTGACGATATTTCAATCACCGACGAACCAGGAGCCCTAGCTCTGACGTCCAAGTTTAAACTGACGAAGCTGGGAACTTATCTGGGGCCGTACGATGAAGATTACAAACACGAAGGCGGCAAAAAGAGTGTCACTACCGTGTTTCAATTGTCGGTGACGACGTTGGCCTTCCTCGCATTCGGGGGTTACTTGGTGTATCTGGTGGTGGCTGCGATCTCAGGCAAAAACTACAACTACGTATACAATCCGAACACGCAATTGATGGCGGCGATGATAAACTCGCACTTCAACCACAAGAGGAGGCACAAGAAGAAGAAAAGGAAGCGAAGACCCATCAAGCACGGCCATTTTGGGTACAAAGAAGCGGATGAAGTATCCAGGGAAAAAAGGGCCGCCGGTACTGATGAGGATGGCGAGGTTTTGTACAGGGCTCTGGTGAATTTGTCGGAAGGATGCGCGAAATTCTACGAGCAAAACTACGTCGATGCTGTAGCAAGTAAGCTGTTGAATGTTACTGCTTTCGACGTTGTTATAAAACATCCTGAGCTGCAATAAACAAGTTATTTCAAAGGTAGCAAACATTTCCATACCCAATATTCATTTCATATTCATTTCAATATTCGACCATATACTGCGCCTGCGGCAATAAGCAATAGTACAGATATTTTCACGCCCACCCACAGTGTTAATTCTGAAAGATAAAGAAAAAAGTTTGAAGATTTTTACTCTGTTATGTTATGTAAATGTCAGAAAAAACAAACGAACAACGCAAGCTGTCAAAATGACAGCAAAATCTTTTTTTTAATGGAATGCACTATATATTATTAGCTTAAACCGTAAATCTTTTTTTCCTGATTTCAAAGACATATAGTTTATTGACATTTCATTTAGCCGTTTTTGAGATATTTCAGTTTAACAAGAATTATCATTCGATTTCTGAACAATAGCCATTTTGTTTAAAAATGGCCAAGCCTACCTTGATAGCAAAGCTTGCAATTGTTTTAACTTTTGACAACTAATCAAAGCTAAAGATCTGCACCGCAAGTTAAATAACTGAAGATATCTCAAATAGGTTAGACTGAGGAAGAAAAACGCCAAATAGAAATTTATATTATTCAAATAACAAAAATATTAATACTTAATGCTAAACATTTTCCACATAAACTCCAATAATTTATATAAATAACAAATTACTTTTTCAAAGAAACGTCCACAGGCTACTGTAATACTTCTAACAAAGCTTTTGTTATTTGCCCTCATGGTCAAAAACCCTACAGAGCCGTAAAACTATCTCAGCCCGAATCACTGAAAACAGAATTAAAACACCTTACCTCTGCTCTTCTCTCTAATAATTTCAACATTAAAGATATTAAGCGTTCCATCAAAAAATACATTTCACCACAACCTTCCAATAGCAATGAGGCCGAAAGCAATCATGGACTTGCCACTGTGGTCCTTCCTTACATTCAAAATATCACTGACCACATATCAAAAGTTCTAAAGAAGTATAACGTCAAAACCAGGTTTACCACTTGTCCATAAATCTCTCAACATCTTCGGTCCGTCAAAGACAAAATTCCACTTGAGATGTCAGGAGTTTACAGCATTCCACAAATATGCGGCAAAGAATACATTAAAGAGCCCGGACGAAAAATATCAACAAGGCTCAAAGAACAAGAAAGAGTCTTAAGACTAAGACCAATAAACTCATCAGCTATTGCCGAACATACTCACGAAACCAGACATAAAACTTTATTCGATAAAACTAAAATTCTTGCATGTAATCAGCTCTTCTACCGACGAAAAATCCGAGGGTCCATTGAAAAACAACCTAACAATCTTAACCGCGACTCAGGTCTCTACCTGTCACCAATTTGGGAATCATGGGAGTCATCCAAGACGGTGTTTATATCCCTCATTACCGCCCCCCTCAAACAATATATAAGCAAGTACAGAGTAAAATACGAGCCAATTTCAGTGAAGTTCTAAAGAAGCCAACAGGATGATTGGCGAAACGTCAGCAATTTCGACTCAGCAAAAACCGACGGAAGAATAATCCAGAAGTTTTGTAAAAAATAAATAATAAATTTAAGGTTTTTTCTGTTTAGATCTTGTAAAACGATATTAAGTCTTCCTCTTATCACTTGTCAACTTTCATTCCTTATTTCGGTCCTCAAATTGTTTCATTACATTTTAATTGTATTTATTGAAGTAACTCTTCTACCCGGATATATTTGCCGATATTCTCTTTTAACCCTTGCAACATTATGTCCGTTTGAATAATATAATTTTATTATTTGGCGTTTTTCTTCCTCAGTATAACCTATTTGAGATATGTTCAGTTATTTAACTTACGCTGCAGATGTATAGTTTTGATTAGTTCTCAAAACTTGAACATTGTCAAAACAATCGCAAACATAGATATGGTTGCTATCAAGGCAGACTTGACCATTTTTAAACAATTGTCCCCAAATAGAATGATGATTATTTTTAAACTGAAATATCTCAAAAACGGCCAAATTAAATGTCAATAAACTACATGTTTTTGAAAAAAGGAAAAAAGCTATTGACATACAGGGCATTCCATTAAAAAAATATATGTTGCTGTCATTTTGACAGGTTGCGATGGTCGCTTGTTTTTTCTGACATTTGCGTAAGATAATAGAGCAAAATTTTCAAACATAACGGAATTCACGTTGATCCAAAAGTTTTCGATAAATTTCAGTTTGAAATTTTATTATTTTATTTAAAATTTCATTTTATGCAAATACAAATTTAGTTCTAAACTAAGGCAAAACAAAAAAACTTTTCTACTTTTGTTAGTAGATTAAAATTTTTCAAATTGTCAACCGATATTTTGTTTTAATATGGAATTTATAAAAGCGGCGATCTCAGTATATCAAAAAAATACAATATACATTTCATTTTTAACTATAAAATCATTTAGAAAACCTTAAAAATTGTTAACGTTAAATACCAATGTGCTTGTAAGTAATTTATAAAAGCCAAAATTGCCTCTTATAGCAAAAAACATATATCTCACTATTTACGAAACTTATGGATTCCTCCTGCATCGGATGTTATTGAATGAGACCTTAACTCGGATGACTGATTCCCATGTCGGTGAAAGGTAAACAGCTGAGTAGCGGTTAAGATTGTATGGTTGCTTTTCTATTGGTAAGAAAATCAGACCTGACATTGTGTTTACAGAAAACAGAAAGTTTGGTAAAAAGTATTACAGTAGCCTGTGGAAGTTCTTTAAGAAAGAAAAAACATATTTCTTGCTTTTTTTACCAAATACTAAAAAAAAGTGATCTACGTCATATAATTTTACACGCGTAAGTCCAAATATTTTTTTTACCTCATACTGCAGGAAATATTTGAAGGTAAATATTAACAAAAGTTATTTCAAAGTTGCAAAGGATCTAATAGGGCGCCCCATTTGAAAAAATGAAACTATTAATTTCCTGTAGATTTGGCAAACCTGTATTTGCTCAAATATTTCAAAAACATAAGTTGTAAATTCTTATAGCCGTCAACCAAATTTGAAAAAGTTGTCTTGGTTCGTTCTCCAAAAATGTTCGCCACCCGTGTTACTTGGGAATTGAAATAAATATTTCTCCTGAATTGAAGAATGTTTCTAGTTTTCGTCTTGGAAAACTTCAGATAAAGTAGTTTACCAAATTTAAGCAGTTACGACATAAGAATATAATAAAATTAAATATTTAAAAAGAAAAAAAATTAAAGTGGAACCGGGCTTTAACCCGAGACCTATGGTCTCGCATCCATACGCTCTACCCACTCAGCCACGCATGTATGTTTCAAACAGTTTATTCGGCATGTTTAATAGCTATTCATTGCCGGTACGGTTTATCATATCCCGCATGGTAAATACGAAAAATGGTATCCCAAGTGACCATCTACACAACCGTTAAACCCAAATTGGCCCGAAAAGTTATAAGATAGTATTTGATTTGAACCGGATGCTTTCTGACCCGTATCTCGCGCACCCTGTACGATACAGGAAACGGTAAATGCAAAAATTGTAGCTCTGGAGGCGACCTAAGAGACAGTTCAAACCAAACGGCGCCGTTTGTCACGCTTTCTCAGTTACGCCTAATAATTTACATCGAAACATCACAATTTTCAGTTGTTCCCTCATAACCGCGACACCCTGTATATTTTTGAGACGACCGTATTTTTGGCCGTATTTTGTTCGAACGTTATAAGCTTTGAAATGCTTCCCGCATGCCTGTTACACAGAACAGTCAACGGTCATGACGATTTATTGTGTGTCGGACTGTATATACCTTCGTAGACATCAGAAACTCAGAGGGACAGAAAATAAAATCATATTTATAAGTAAGTATATATTTATTTTTGATTTTTGTCGGTATTCACTTTTTTCCATTTTTTTTTTAAATAGATTCAACAGTATATTAATATAATTTACAATTGGCACTCTATTATTAAATTTCGTTTCAGAATATATTGGATAAATAGAGAATATAGATTCCTATGCCCGCACATTTTCAGACGCCTATGTTTTTCTATTGTCCCATGCTGCTGCGACGCCATCGAGGCATTTTATTTTATTTCCGCTCGTGGATATTGTATATCATCAATTAATTAGGACTAATTAATAATAATAATAATAATAAATAAACTTTAAAGCGTGGTCCTACAGGTGGATCAAAAGCTACCAATTAACATTCTAAACAAAACTATATTACGTGTTACATTTGTAACCGGTGGGTTGGAAGTTTTTGCATTCGTCCTTAGCTTTAGCGCCTGTAATCGAAAAGCCTGATTCGAAGACGATGTTCGAACATGCCGCGCATCTGATGGTTACCGCAGACGAGTACTGCCCATTCATGGTACCAGTGACACCTTTAATGTCGACGTTGCTGATAGGAACATTTCCTGTAGGATTCCCAGTGGACCCCTGCTTCGCGTTCGAGAAGTCCTGTTGGATCATCACACCGTAATCTGACGGGCCTGCAGCAGAAAGAACAAGATTGCTTTCGAAAAATCGTCACTGGTTGGGGCAAGTTTGTAGCGCGTAGCGCGAATCAGCTTTTTATTTTAAAAAGAAAGAGCTTCGCGGTTTCTTGTGGTAAAGGGATGCAATGTTTTGCTATCGTGCTCCTGCAGACCACTATGGAACTTTCTCAAAATCGATTTAATTTTATTGTGCATACACCCTGTATAAAGTGTCTTTCAAGCCTCGCCGAACTTCAAAGTTTCAGCAAACTTTGTTAAATATTCTAAATTGTACAAATAATAGGGTGTGTCGAATGATATTTTTTCAGATATCTCGCTCGCCCTGTATAATTGACGAAACCTGTAACTCCCTCTCGACACAGTTTATGATACCGTTCAAATAAAATTAACAGATTTTTAGCAGTCTTTCATTTATCCCCAATAATTTACCAACGGAAATTTTTAGGATGTTCTTGATATTTTTGCCCATAAACGACACACCTTGTATTTGATTCAAACAATGTAATAAAGATTATAGCCCTGGATCTTCCACGTTTCCTGATATTTGATTTTTTTCAATGGAGTAAGTGGTTTTCAAGAAAATACTTGTTTTCTGAAACCATGCAGAACGTGGTAATAGAAAATGACGTCACCGCGTCTATATTGGGGCCGAGAACAGCGTATGTGATAGACGAAAACCGTAAATACAAAAATTGTTATTCTTAATACGGCCTATAACAGTGTTTGAACCGATTGGCCATATGTTTTACGAATTTTGATTTGCAGTTAATAATTTATTCCAAAAAAGTACTTTCACTACACTACCATACCCCGGAAAAGGGTTAGGTTGACTCAACTGATAAGTGTAAAACAAACGCGCCGTCAAAAAGAGGTAAAAGAATAACTGTTTTGCATGCCGGCTCTAAAGATGGTTGGATTCCAAATGGACTTTCTCTGTCTGCGAAAAATATTAAAGATTCTTCTCTGGATTACCATGAAGACACCATCGCTGATTTATTTAAGAGTTGGTTTAAAAACAAACTAGTTCCAAACATTTCTTCTAATAGCGTAATTGTAATTGTCTGTGATAATTATGTAAAAAATCTAGGGCATACAGTTTTAAGGATACCACCTTAATACTGTATATTTAATCACATTGAACATGTTTGACACCAACTGAAATCTGCCATTCGTCGTTACAATGTTTTTCCTCGTATTAACTCCAATGTCCTCAAACTTATAGAAACCGAAGTTTTTAACATCACTCCAAAAAGTTGGTCAAATTCTGTTAAACATATAGAAAAAGCACGACAATCCATATAGCAAATAATATACAGTGTGTCCAAGATAAGGATGCACAGCATGGGGATCTCGGAAACTATAAGAGATACAGTGTCGGTTAAATTAGACAAAAGTTGCGCATTTTGATACCGAACAAGATCCCGTTTTACAAATTTGAAAATTCCAAGCCGTTCCGGAAATATCCGAGAAAAACCGAAATATTGCGATTTCGTTTTTATTATTTTTTAAAGCTATTTGAAAAGATATGAAAAAACGGAAAACACTTTTCCATTGGCACTTTTTAATCTCTCCAAATTGACGTTAACAAATTTTCATTACAGCGTTTCGATTCCATGGAACCACCATCAACTTTGATTTTTCTTATGGGACGGAAAAAAAGTACACACAGTATTAGGTTGTGCTTTTCATTGCGAATTCAACGATGTACGATACAATACGGTTACTTATGTTTTTATCCAGAAAAATGGCTTTTTAATACATTTCTAGTATTTTATTGTAGTAGGCCATGAGATCCGAACGATGAAAGGCAAAAGAAAATGGTTGACAAGTTCGAGTTAATGTGTTTATTTATTTACTAACTCTAACTGTTCATTTAACATAACAACTAAATCCAACAAGTTAATGAAAAACAAATTCTATAACAAATGTTCGAATAAATGACCTCCATTTTCTAGGCATAAGTACGCCCGTCTCACGGTAGACTCCAAAACACGACTTAACATTTCAGGAGTAATTTTATTAAACGCTGCTCGTACTGATTGACGTAATTGTTCCTCGTTGTCAAAACATTCTTTGAATACCTCATTTTTTATGTAGCCCCATAAGAAAAAGTCCAAGGGAGTTAAGTCCGGGGACCTTGGAGGCCAAGGTGTTTCACTGTAAGTCCCAATGTATTTTCCATCAAACCGTTCAGTTAAATATTGGCGAACTTCTCTGGAGTTATGGGCTGGGGCACCATCTTGTTGGAACCAGCAGCCTTGCACAGCGCCTAGCGGTAAATCATCTAAGGCATCTTCTAAATCGTGCCTCAAGATGTCAAGGTACCGCTCGGAAGTTAAGGAATTATTATAGAAAATAGGGCCTATAATCTTGCTACCAAAAATCCCACACCAAATATTAAACCCAAAGCGAACTTGATGTCTGGATAGTCTATTAACACGTGGATTTTGTTGCGACCAATAGTGTGTATTGCGCCTGTTATAAATACCGTTATTGGTCACCATACTTTCATCAGACCAAATCACTTTATATGGAAAATTAAAACTCTCATCACACATCCTGGTATACCACTCACAAAAATGTCTACGTCGTTCGTCGTCACCCGGTTTTAATCCTTGACATATTCTGAATTTGTAAGGCTTAAATTCATTTTTCCTTAAAATAAACTGAGCTGTAGATTTAGCTACCCCATTCTGGTCTTCAATTTCTCTGGTAGAAGTTTATGGATTTTCGATAACAGATTGTAGAACAATGTATTGGTTTTCTTCATTGGAAGGTTTTTGTCGGGATAATGCAGGCTTCTTAAATGATCCATATTCTTTCAGATTAAATAACAAACGCCGAAAAATACTCTTGTCAGGTTGTCTCCGCTCTGGGTATTTGTTAGAATACATACGCTCGGCTTCCACACAATTTCTTTGGCATCAGATGTAGCAAGACAGCATATCACATTTTTCTTCGTTTGTAAAATTACCTCCCTCCATTGTAGAACAAAATAAATTAGAAAAAGATAACAACAATAAAAATACAAAAACAATAACTAAAGGAATAAACTTATGATCGACTGATAACAAAGACAAATAACATTAATGTGTCATTGAAATTGACTGGATGTCATTTTGTCATGGCCTACTCCATTTAAATGCTGAAATGTATTAAAAATCCATTTTTCTGGATAGAAACATAAGTAACCATATTGTATCGTACATCGTTGAATTCGCAATGAAAAGCACAACCTAATACTGTGTGTACTTTTTTTCCGTCCCATAAGAAAAATCAAAGTTGATGGTGGTTCCATGGAATCGAAACGCTGTAATGAAAATTTGTTAACGTCAATTTGGAGAGATTAAAAAGTGCCAATGGAAAAGTGTTTTCCGTTTTTTCATATCTTTTCAAATAGCTTTAAAAAATAATAAAAACGAAATCGCAATATTTCGGTTTTTCTCGGATATTTCCGGAACGGCTTGGAATTTTCAAATTTGTAAAACGGGATATTGTTCGGTATCAAAATGCGCAACTTTTGTCTAATTTAACCGACACTGTATCTCTTATAGTTTCCGAGATCCCCATGCTGTGCATCCTTATCTTGGACACACTGTATAACATATAATAATTAGAACAGGCGATGATAGCGATAGTGATACTGATATATTATGTGAATAATTTTAAGTAATTTAAGTAGGTAATAAAAATAATTTGTAATTTTATTTTAGATTTAAACATAAATACATACATAAATAAATAAATATTGTTTGGTATCTTTCCTAACAAAACCCCAAATAATTAAATTCTAAGCAGAGTACAGACCAGTTCCGCCATATTTCATTCTTACAGCTTGGCCGGATTTTTCCTTAATTCGTATCAGTTAGTCACTTTCTTATATCTATCAATAGATTTTAACATACTACTACTGCTAAAAAGCAGTTCCAAATAAGCGTCTTTTGAATGGAGGAAAATTTTTTTAAAAAAGTCTTGAAAGTCTGAAAGCCACATTGTGTAAAGTTTATCATACTCTCATCCGGCCTGCGCTCAGTCTATTGCCTATTCTTCAGAAACTAGTAGAAGATATTAAGCATTGACTCTTCTTGAGCAGGTTCCTGTTGAACGAGATGTTGGCAAACCCAAAGAAAGGAAGCTTAGAAAGGCGTGTAAAGAAACAGACAAATGTACACTGAATAGCAAGGCAAATCTAGCCCGCAAAGCTGTAAAAACTGTGTGATAGCCAACGACGGAACAAGATACCATAATATTATCAACATGAATGAGTGGATTTAACATTACGAACTGCTGATGGCTGGTAACTTGAAATCACCCCAGCAACACACCTCCAACATAGAGAACTACCGCCCGGTCAATGTCAAGTGGCAAAAATTTTTGAGTCCTGTTATAATGACAGGCTGCAGAGGTTCGTTGAAAAATACTCTTTGATTTCTGATGCCCAGAACGGATTCAGAGCCAAACGCTCCACATGTACAGCTCTGGAGCATATCTACGACAGCCGTAACAAACAAACAGCCACACCAGCCTGCTCTTAAAAAAACTGGAAAATATGGGAGTTAGAGGTCCAGCAAACTCATGGGTTAAATCTTACCTCTCCGAGAGAGTACAGCAGATTGTTATGGACGGTTCAAAATCGAGCCCTCAATATGTAGGCAGAGGTACCCCGCAAGGATCCTATCACCGCTTCTCTAATTGTTTTATTAACGATCTTCCTCAGGATAATACAGATGCATTATTTGTAGTGCATGCAGAAGACACAAGTATTTTAGTAACAGATAAAAGCAGAGCTAATCTGAAAGGAACCGCAGAACCAAGGGTCATGAGGGTGAATGAATGGTGTCGCGATAAGTAAATCTAAGTCAATAGCTATGGAAATAGTCACAAAAAATACTCCCGTTGATTTCAGTATTCTTCTCCAATTAGAGGGACGTTCTATAGAAAACGTCGAGGCTACTATGTTTCTCGGTCTGCACATTGACAACAAACTCAAATGGAATTATCACATCGACAACATATTTCCCAAATTAGCCACTGGTGCACACCGGGTCTTCTTAGCACAAAAACGTGCTATTAGTTACATGATGCATGTAACTAGTAAACATTCATGTAGGGATTTATTTAGGGAACTTCAGATCATGACACTTTCGTCATTATATATTTATTCCGTTTTGGTTTACGTCAAAAGTAACATGATAAGCTGGAATAGGAGATGACGAAACGAACATGACACACGGCAAAGAGATTACTTGGACGTTCCATTCTCTAGACGCATATCGGGCAACAAAACCGAAGGTATTTTGAGTTGAAAGTATATAACAGAGCATTAAATTTCTATAAATGCCTCGAAGAAACTGATAGTTTATCTGTGTTAAACAAAAGAATTAAGATCTTTTTAACTGATAGTCAATTATGTGATAAAAAGAGGGGTTTTAAGTACATGTCTACATTTCTGAGTTAGATTGCGGTGCAATAAAAGCAGATTCTGACTGGGATCTTATCGAAATCGGCAACTATTCGACTCAGAAAGGGAGTTTTACGTCGATATTCAATGGTTTATTACGGAAATTGAACTGAGGTGGCTTTTACTTTATGAAAATTCATTTATCAAATTAAATAAGAACTAAAAGTTCAGATTATCACGAAATTATATATTATGACATGACAATTGTTTCGACAACACCGTGTCTTTATCAAATGTCACATTTGATAAAGACACGGTGTTGTCGAAACAATTGTCATGTCATAATATATAATTTCGTGAAAATCTGAACTTTTAGTTCTTATTTATTTTGGTTTATTACGGTTCTAGTTACTATAAAGTCCGAAGAGGCCGATATTGACTAGTATTTGAAAGATATTGACACGAAAATGTAACTGCTTGGATCAAAAAATGACAGTTTAAGCTGATATCTGCTGTTTTGTTGCTGATTTCGATAAGATATATGTCGGAAGAGCCGATTTTGACTGGAATCTGTTTGAAATGAGGAAGAAAAACCTACTATCAATCCAACAAAGTGGATTTTTATGTAGTCATCTGCAATTTTAATGTACATTTCAGTGTGGTAAGTTATGAAAATGCAGGTTTTGACTATAATCTGCTCGAAATCAACAGCGAAAACCAATTATTTGTCCCAGAAAAGGGGGTTTTAAGTAAATAATTGCGTTTCTAAGGTAGATTTTAATTTAAGTATTTTAATGTGATGTGGCCTGCTTAATATACCCATATATGTGTTGTATCTATCTATCCAAGCTGTGGCGGTCATGGCGTAGGGCACCTTACCGTTTATTTTAATATTGTTGTATTTAATATTGTCCACATATCCTTGGCCTCCATCGTTGACAGTTAAAATGTGCAATCCGTACATTCCCCCGTCCAATATTGAATTGGAGAAGGTGACATTCTCGACGACATTTTTATCGTATTCGGACGACATTCCCACTGCTATGTCGAATCCGTGACTCCCGATGCAGTGGAAGTTGTCGATGGTGACGTGTTGGGCGCAATTGATAGCCACGCAGTCGTCCTGGTTGGTAACGGTGGCGTCTTTAATAGTGACGTATGATGATTTGGCGATACCAAATCCGTCGGTGTTGTGGCCTTCTTTTCCACTCGACGCGGTTCCCTGAAAAAATTATCAGTTTGAACGATAAGCGAAGAAAGGAAATACTTTGAAGGGAGGCAATTGGAGGCTCCTTAGGAACATGGGAGGAAAGGGGCGAAAGGAACTATTATTTCGAGTGGAATGCCTAAAATTACATCACCTTTCAAATGTCTGTAAATTACAAAGAACAGAATTGAACACTTCAGGTCTGCTCTTCTCTCCTATAATTCCCACTTCCCACTTCACCACAACCTTCCAAAGACAACAACAACATCTTCGAAAAATATCAGCTCGACGTACTCTTTGAAGTATAAAGTCTGTTCAGAGATATAAGAAAGTGACCAATTGCTTTTGAATGAGATTATCCAAGAGTGATCATTAACATCCAATACAACAAGATTATTACCTAAAGTTTCCGAATTTAAATTCTGGTAAAATTGTGGTCCGTAATAGAAAATAATTTTATACCTCCCCGTGTTTAATATTCTTTGGTTTGGTATACTACTACTCGTGTGTAATACAGCGTGTGCGAATTATGCAAAATATGTGCGAGTCTAGTATATCTCAGCAGATGATCCCGTCCAAATGTAGAAAACAATATTCTATTCAGACTAAGGAAGTTATAAACAATGTTTATTTCACTCTCACTAAATGTGGTGCCAGCAAGCAAGCATCTTTAGAAGAAACAGCCACATTGACGAAAATTCCAACATCAACTGTATGGAAAATTGTGAAGAATCCCATTTCAGCGAGGAAAAAAGAAGTGATGCTGACATTTTCTCGAGTGTAGATGAAAGTGATCAAGATATAATACGTGTTGGGTTTACTCAACTGATAAGTGTAAAACGAACGGGTCACCAAAAACAGGTAAAGGAATAACTATTTCGCATGCTTGCTCTAAAGATGGTTGGATTCCAAATGGACTTTCTCTGTCTACCAAAAATATTAAAAATTCTTCTCTGGATTACCATGAAGACACCATCGCTGATTTATTTGAGAGTTGATTTAAAAACAAACTAGTTCCAAACATTTAATGGACAACGCAAGTTATCACAGTAGACAGTTGACTAAAACCCCTTCCTCATGTGACACAAACGCAACAATCCAAAGCTACATGTATAATAAAGACATTTATTTTCACGAAGATTATACCAAAAAGCAATTAATTGAGGTTCTACAAAGCTTGAACCTACAAAAGGAATACGTCCTTGATAATTATGCAAAACATCTAGGGCACACAGTTTTAAGGCTTCCACCTTACCACTGTATATTTAATCCCATTGAACATGTTTGGCACCAACTGAAATCTGCCATTCATCGTAACAATGTTTTCCCCCGTGTTAACTCCAATGTCCTCAAACTTATAGAAACCGAAGTTTTTAACATCCCTCCACAAAGTTGGGCAAATTCTGTTAAACATATAGAAAAAGCAGAACAATCGTATATCCATATTGCAAATAATATACAACAAATAATTATTAGAACAGGTGATGATAGCGATAGTGATACTGATATATTATGTGAATAATTTTAAGTAATTTAAGTAGGTAATAAATATAATTTGTAATTTTATTTTAGATTTAAACATAAATACATACATAAATAAATAAATATTGTTTAGTATCTTTCCTTATAAAACCCCAAATAATTAAATTCTAAGCAAAATACGGACCTGTTCGGCCATATTTCATTCTTACAGCTTGCCCGGGTCTTTCCTTAATTCGTATCAGTTAGTCACTTTCTTATATCTATGAACAGACTTTACCTCTTTCTTCTTCTTAATGTGCCATCTACATTCAATGAAGATCGGCAACAATTCTGGCAAATTCTTCCCTATTCTGTGCTATCCTTAGTAATGTGTGAGTCCAAACCAGACAATATATCAAGATCTTTTTTTTATTGTATCGAGAAACTCGCGTTCCTTGTGCACTCAATGTGGAACTTCCAAATTTGAAACCTGATCAGTCCGTGATATCCTTAACATTCTGCGATTCACCCACACTTTAAACGCTTCCAGATTAAAGGAGAAGTGTGTGTTAAGAAGTGTGGAGTGCAAGTAGCATTTGACGAAGTTATGTCTTGTGTGAATGCTTGGACTGTTGTCGCAAAGAAAGTTCTCGCCTTTTCGATATATCGGGATTTAGGATTTTACTGATCCAACGGCCCAAGTATCTGAACTTCGGACTCTTGCTATTGGTGATAGGCCTTCCGAGCTGTCAGCAATCATAATGTGACAAATATACCTTCGGTGTTTCTTTTTAAATCTCAGGAAGCTCTTATACGATTCTTCATCTCTTCTAGAGTGTCTACTATACTACAGTTCATGCTATTAAAATCTGGAAACTTATTGGGCCATGAAGCACATTTTGTTTCTAATTAAACGTGGTACTTCTCTTAGCAATATTGGCAAATCCTCTTCTAAGAAAAAAATTATTAAGTAATTTCCAACGATTCCAGTCCGTTTTGCGGAAACTGTTCTTGATATTTAAATTACGGTTATTGTAGAAGTTTATTATTGCATTTATGGAAAAGTTAGCTTCATCTGTAAGTAGTATTTCTTAGTCAGACAGCGGATAACGTGGAAAAACCATTGGACTCCTTGAGTATGGTATAAGTACAATAGAATGTCGTTCAAGAAACTGCTTCTTCGTTTTCTGGAGTTCTTACAGTCCGAGCGTTCTTTTTTAAACTAACAATGCTCAGATGTTTTAAACACCAAACTAATAAGACTCCAAAAACAGATGTCAAACAACAGCTTCGACCACAGAATTAATAATTCTTACGAGCGCAGCCTACTACAATGATAAGAGATAATTAAAAAGGTTTGAAAAATACACCTCAGAGTTTAGGTACTTCGTATTCGCAATTCGATTTTTTGAAGTACTTTAATAAAACCAATAGACACTTAAGTTAGAAATAACGATAATAATTCTCTGTATGCTGTCATATAACGGATTTGTCATGAGCATACAGAGAAGAGGTTTTTATTTTTTTTAAGCGAAATCAAGATATTAAATTTCTTTGGAAATGATGGGAGATTGTAAGATTAATTTTTATTTTAAAATAAATCAGTGGCGTACCATCAGTGCCTGCCAAAATAGAAATTCCTTGCGCCCGCCACTGGTGTATTTGATAAAAATTTTGCTATACAAAATAATGCCTCTTAATACGTGGTACACCGTGTGCCAAATAAAACGATCCACCATACGATTCTGGAAACCCGTAGGACATACGAAAAAAAGTTTGGTACAAAAGTTTCTTGGACTCTCCTCAGGATTTAAAATATTATAATTTTATTGACCCCCCCACCCCCTTCGACAACAACTTTGTTATTTTAAATGGATCATATTTCGGCGTTTTTTGAATTCTTGTTTAAAATAAAGGTCACTTTCTTAAGAAATTCTTATTCGAATTTTCCTTAGTTTAGGCAGAAATTGAGGTTATGTGATTTTTTTCAAATTTTGATTGCCCCATATAAAATTGTATTGTGAGGCTACTGAAAAAGGAATTGCAAAGAAAATTTAACCACAGACTAATGAGATGATGCACTACTCAATCAGCTTGGCAAATGCGCATTAGCTTATACAAGGTGTCCCAAATAGGTGGTGCCGTTTTGGCGAATTCAATTAACAAAATCTCAAGATTTTCTAACAGAACACACTTCTATTTTTATTCAGATATGAATTTCAGACCAAAAAATGAGGTAAGTTTGTTATTTATCTTATATTAAAATTTTACTTACTTTTTGAGATATTCGATCTTTAAGAGAACACCTGTATAAAGTTATTTATTCTTTAAATAACAAAGACATGATACTACTTCTCTTAAAGATATACGAATAAAACCTACTGCCAACAATACAGGATGTCCATTAATACGCGGAAATTTTGAAAAAAAATCGACTCTATACTGCACACTTTCACAGATTTAATAAAACTTCAGAATTCATATTTAAAGAAACATATATAAAGTTTATAGGTTAACCAAACAACTATAACTTATTTAAAATACAAAAAATATATATACTAACAAAAAACTTGACAACTATGAACTTTTTGAATAGAAACATGAGAAACAACAAAAACAAACGGAAATGACAAAATTTGTTTATACTTCAATGCGTCTAAAAAAAAATTGTGATAGCCAACTACATTTTTAAATATTTTGATATTTCTTTGTTATTTTGATGCCAGATGGAACGAGCATTTTAAGAGGAACATTTTTAACTAAACTTTATGGACTAAATTAATGAAATCTTTTTAGTTAACTTTTTTTTATTCAAATTTGTTACCTTGCTTAGTTACCCTATAAACTTTAATTATTTATTTTTGTTGTTATGTATTTTCAATCAAGCTAGACAATTAATTATTAAATGTGTCTTTATGAATTGTGAAGTTTTATGAAATCTGTATTGTTAGGAATAGGTTTTATTCATATATCTGCAGTATTTTATCTTTAAAAGAAATATTATTATGTCTTTGCTATTTAAAAAGCAGGTTTAAATTCAACAAGAGTTAATACGGGTGTTAACTTAAATCTCGAATATCTCAAAAAGTAAGTAAAATTTTAATATAAGATAAACTACAAACTTACCTCATTTTTTTGTCCTGGAACTGATATCTGAATAAAAATATAGTGTACTCTATTTGAAAATCTTGAGATTTTGTTAATTGAATTCGTCAAAACAACACCACCTATTTGAGACACCCTGTATAAGCTGTCAAACTGATTGAGTAGTGCACCATCTCCTTATTCTGTGGTTAAATTTTCGTTGCAACTTCAATTTCGGCCTAGAAAAATTCGAATGGGGATTTCCTATTAAAGCGACCTTTATTTTAATCAAGGATTCAAAAAATGTCGAAATATACAGGGTGTTTTATTTAAAATAACAAAGTTGATGTCGGACGTTTTTCGGACAATCTGTATCAATAATATTATAATATTTTAAATCTTTGACAGAGTACAAGAAACGTTCATACGTTCATATGAAGTTTTTTTTTTTTTTAAATGGACCCTAACAGTGCGGAAGATTCGTAAATAACTCTACATCTTACCGGAGCACCGTCAGAATTGTCAATGATGAAGCCGCTAAGAACTACGTTGTTTGAGCCGTCGACAGCGACGCATCTCAAGGGGCAGTTCTTGATCTTGAAGTTTTTAAATGTCGAACCGGTCCCCTTCACGTACAATAATGGGGGTTTACTAGAGCCCGCCCCACCTTTGCCGTCCCAATGCTGCTCGCCATGCCCGTGGAACAGGTGACCTGGAAACATTTGTTAAAAAGTGTTTGGCGCATAGTGAAATTATCTTCTGCTCACTTCCAGTGCCCTCGACAGTGACCGAATTTCCAATAATTTCTAGAAGATAGCCTGACCATGCCTTGTAAGCGAAATCAATGACGCCGGTAAAGGAAACCTTGGATCCTTGCTTCAAATTCATGATCATGGTCGTACCAGCTGGTACGGTAAAAGTACCCACGGTAATAGTGGTACAGCTGGACACGACGCTATCTACATCGTTGATTGAATTGATGGTGCAGGAGGCATCTGGCGTTGGTACGCTATGGGCTCCCAAAAGTACCCAACACAGCGTCAGAGCAAGTACCTTGAACGCCATAGTCTCGAGTTATTGGAACCCAAATACTAATCATCGAATTTGGCCAAGCTTTTTATACCCAGTTTTTTTCGATGAATGTTTATTTATTAAGTACTTAAAATAAAGGAAAAAAACAACTGCAATCAATGATTTTGAAGTGGAAAATTTGAATAAAGCAAATTGTTTGCGTGACATAAGCATAACTTATTTACGGAAGATGATCTTATTAGGTTTAAAAATTCGAGACGCTTACTGTATAAAATTTGCCAGGTATGATACGGCGTCCACAGTTTAATAATAACGCGTCATTTCCGTCTGGAAACTTATAAAAATCCTTCATAGTGAATGGTGAAGAGCTAAGAAGACGAACCGCTGCAGTTTAGTGACGGAATATGTTTATTTATTTATTTATCAACGCGATGATTGCTGCTTCAGTTGTTGAATTTTTCGAAAGTATACGCAGTAGTAAATTTTTTCCGGATCTCGATAGGTCCTGCAGGACCGCCATTGGTACAGATCCGTTTCTCAGTTTCTCGGTTCTCTGTTCCAGCGTTTTTCGACGATAACTTCCGAACGGTTTAAGCTACCACGGGGTGCATAAGATATGTGAAAATGGCAGAGTTCAAGTTTCGACGTCCATGTTTTCTTTTTCGATTGTTATATATCTCTGGTTCAGTCAACACGCGATGACGTCATTGATTATTACGGTTTCAGAAAAAAATTATTTTCTCGAAAACCATTTACTCTATCGGTAACATTCTTGGACCAGGAAACGTGGGAGATCCAGGTCTATAACCTCTATATCCAAAATTTTTTCAATTATGTACAGGGTGCGACGATTATGGGCAAAAAATCAAACAGCCTCTGAAAATTGCCGTTTTCGTAAATGAAATGCTATAAGACATGAAATAATTTGGTTTAGACAGTATAGTAAACCATATCGAGATGTAGTTTCAGATATCTTTTATCATACAGGATGCGCACATGAAAAAATGTCATTGGAAATCATTATCATTTGTACAAATTTCTATATTTATTATAGTTTGCCGTGGCTTTGAAGTTTAGCGAAAGACTTTTTATACTGGATGTATGCACAATATAATTACATCGATTTTGCGAAAGTTCCATTGTGGTCCGCAGGAGCACGATAGAAAAACAATGCGTAACTTTTTTGACAAGAAACTGCAAAGCGGCTTCTTTTTGAAATACAAATATGGCCTCCTCTGTCATGTCTGCTGTTGTAGGCAAATCCTAATCTATCACCATAAAATCTTGAAACTCCTCACGTGTAAATATAATGGTTGTTTGAAACTGCTTAATCCACTCGCTTAGTGGCTGATCATCTTCCAAGTCCTGTTCGCGTTCTGCCTCGGTAATAAGTCCTGCATAACGATAGGAGTGTTGGATTGTTTCTGCTGTCACCTCTTTCCAAGTGTAAAGGGTTGGGGGAAGGTGGTTGTAAATCACCCTCAAAATTTAAACGAGAAAGAGCGGCAAGAAAACGGTAGGACATACAACACCCGAAACGGTTAATCACCCACCTTGATGGTTTCCCGCGTCGTCGTTTGCCCGGCCGGGTCTTCTTAGGGGTATTTTCTGGAGGATTGGGGGTGGTAAGGACCACAACACAGCGCGGGGTTCTCGCGAACCGGTCACAGAAGAGAGCTTGTTTTTTCGTGGTTCGCACTACGGACGCTCACGCAAGTCTCTTTTCGCGCGGCTTAACCAAGGTTGGGTATGGTGGGGGTGTTGTATACACAGCGCGAAAATAAAAAGTTAACCCAAGGGAAAAAAAAATTATGAAGTTACCGAAAAATGTTATTCAACCCTTAACACCAAGCTTTACTAATAAAGTTGACTGCATCTAGCATATTAATGGAAACTTTGTCTTTGGACTCGATCATTTCCATTAAATTGATTTTCCTGTATCGACTCTTAAGACTTTTTACTACGCTCTGGTCCATCCGCTGTAATACACTTGTTGTGTTGGCTGGAAGAAGTGCCAATTCAATATTCCGTAGATTTGTATTATGGGGATGTCCAGGGCAGTTATCTAAGAGAAGTAATATTTTCTTCCCCTTTAATTCTGCGCCCCACTTCCGTAACTACTCTCTAAAAATTTGCGATGTCATCCATGCAGACATGTTTGCCTTGTAAGTGACCCGCAAATGCTTGATGTTCTTAAAACATCGTGGGTTAGTTGATTTTCCAATCACGACTAGCTTTCTCCTTTCTCTTCCACTCATATTGGCAGCTACTAACACTGTTATACGTTCTTTAGAAGGTTTTCCACCCACACACTTTTCGCTTCGAAATTTAAGCGTTTTATCTGGCGTCATTTTGTAAAAAATACCAGTTTCGTCAGCATTAAAAATATCGTCAGCAGGGTTCTTTTCTGCTAGTTTTGGCCACGTCTTCTCCAGACGATCGATAGTGACGTTTCTGTCGACATCACGGGGTTCACCACTTCTCTTTCCATAATTTGTATCATGTCTCTGTTTGAACTTCACCAACTATCCTTCAGAAGCAAATCTTCAAATTTTGGCTTTTTTAATTTTTTACTAAAACTGCCTGCCGCTTCAGCCTGAATAATTTTTTCTTTGCACTTTCAAATCGTGGATACAGTCGACGGTGTAAGTCCGTATCAACGTCCCACATAATTTTTCTTTTCTCCCCGTTCTATCTCCCGAATCGACTTTAGCATCTAGAGATTAAATTTTTCGCTTATTACGAGAAAATCACTTAGGACGACCAGGTTCTCGGTAATTAGAATATAAGAGTAAGGAATTCTGAAAAGGTAAGAGACTATATTAATTACAAGTCGGCCTACATTTCTTACTTTGTTACCTGATGTGCCTTTTTTTCTTTCGGTATAGAGAGTGGGAAATTCGTTATACATAGTGGATTAATAGATAGCTTTGTATGGAGACCTAATAATACAACAAATTTTGTTCGTAACACAGAGTTTTACGTTATACAGAGTTTCGCTATAGGGAGTTTTCATTTTAGTTGAATAACTTTTTTTTAGCCAATCCGATTTCGACGTGCTTAGTTTACTTTTTAAGAATATTACTTTCTATAAAACTTTTGGATTCCTCCTGCGTCAGTTTTTGCTGAGTCGAAATTGCTAACAGGATGATTGGCGAAACGTCAGTAATTTCGACTCAGCAAAAATGTAGGAGAAATCCAGAAGTTTTGTTAAAAGTATTACAGGCCTGTGGAAGTTTCTTTGAAAAATTTTAAGAGTATTTATAGACGCTTCGACTGGCATGTCAGTAACAAAATACTAGTTCCTTTACGAATCGATGGGAATCAAAAACGGCTATTTTTATTATTTTCTCGAAAATTTTAAATATTTTGTATTAACTATGATAAAAGAGCGTGAACAGAAAGTAGTGAAAACTTTGAGATTCAAAGAAATATTTTTCATAACATAAGATATTTTTCAACCGTAACATAGTAATAGTAAAACGACGAATATGTCATACTATACTAGCCTCTTTTCATAGCAGACCTAAGAACGATAATTGTTCACTGGTGATATTATAAACAACTAAGACCTGGATTGACGCGTAGTGATGCGGGTGAAATACAAACAAGAGTGCTAATAAAAAATGAGATTTTAATATCGTTCAACGTTACGTATTGCATTTGTAACCAGTAGGCTGGAAATTTTTGCATTCGTCCTTAGCTTTAGCGCCTGTAATCGAAAAGCCTGATTCGAAGACGATGTTCGAACATGCAGCGCATCTGATGGTTACAGCGGACGAGTATTGTCCGTTCATAGTTCCAGTTACGCCTTTGATATTAATGTTGCTGATCGGAACATTTCCTGTGGGATTACCCGTAGATCTCTGCTTCGCGTTGGAAAAGTCCTGTTGGATCATCACACCGTAATCGGATGGTCCTGAAACAAGAATAAGATAGTTGTACTGATTTATCATTCGTCATCTCAAAATATTGCTTATAAAATATGTAAATGAATGCAGCAAATGACATAGAAAACTACTTTAAAAAAAACTATAACATTCTCAAGGGCTCAGAACAAGGCCATAAGAGCAATATAACTATGCTAGAATTCTTCTCCAGTAATTGTAACAACCGTTTCACCGTTGTGAAGTAAATAACCTCAAAAAGAAGTATTTTTAGGTTTAGTCTGTTGGTGATGATAATACGCCAAGGATATTGCTGAGCTGATATGCTGAGCATCTGGCACTTTTCCAGATCTTTTAAAGAAAGCATTAACAAGAGCAATATATAAGAAAGAGAGTCCAGGGATCTAAACGGTAAATGATCAACTAACCATTGGTACGGGTTGGTTGCTCTTGAAATAGTCAGAACGCGTTTAAAAAGGACAATTTATCAGGATTTTGTCCGCGTTCTGTTTCCATGTGTTTGGATCTGTCAAAAGCTTTTGACTATGTAAATTATAGGACACTGTTATCAACACTGGTGTGTCCTGCGACTTCTAACTTAAACTTTTCCTTCTAAACATTGCATAGCACGAGTCAATAGAGATGCCGACGTCTTCAGCCACTTCTCTAGTAGTGATTTCATCAATTACTGATGTGCTGGAGCGTCCAGAGCGAGGTTCGTCGTCGGCGTCTTCTCGGCCATCTTGGAACAGCTTGTACCATTTATAAACATTTTTTTGCTCAATGTGGATTCACCATATGTCAACATTTCAAGTGTTTTGCAGCACTGTATTCCATTTTTTACACAAAATTTTATGCAATTTCCTTGTTCCTGAGCTAAAGTTCAATCGATTGGTATGATTTCTATACTATAAATTCTCTCTAAACTAATGTTTTCCGATGATTAATGGTCATTATTATTCAACATTGAATTCATTCTAGATACGGGAATTGTAAAACCGAAACCATTGGTCACTTAATGTGTGGTATGACGACGACTTTATAGAGATTTAAACTTTTTGCAGAATCGTTTACCTCAACTTTTTCAACAAATGTGGTTTCAGCAAGATGAAGATTGAGGGAGAGGCGACAGCGATAGCTGTAAACCACCTGTGTAGACAGCGTGTTCTTACGAACTGTACACTTTTGTAAAATTTTTGTTTATGGTTCAATTTTGATAATTGTTTTTATAGGACAGCTGAAAAATGCACCATTCTGTACTGTACTGTACTGTATTGGCGTACTTAGACTTTAGAATAATTGCTATCATTTATCGTTTCATCTAATCGCACTTCTGACTTTAGGTTGACGCAATAAGCAAAATAAGGTTTTAGTGAATGAGATTTTCCAAATAGGTTAAACAAAATAGATCGCAGACATTTTCTTGATGGATAGCGGAAGCTATTGAGGCTTTGACGTTAAATTTTATCAAAAAAAGTGAACATCTATTTGTGAGTTTTTGGGAAAATACCGTGTGAACTTTTAACTTTTTTTTTAACTTCTAGTACCTTACCGTTTATTTTGATATTGTTGTACTTAATGTTATCCACTTTTCCTTGGCCGCCATCGATGACCGATAAAATATGTATTCCGTACATCCCTCCATCCAGAATGATGTTGGAAAATGTGACGTTTTCAACGACGTTTTGGTTGTAATCGGTCGACATTCCCGTTGCTATGTCCATCCCGTGACTCCCTATGCAGTGGAAGTTGTCGATGGTGACGTGTTGAGCGCTGTTGATGGCCACGCAGTCGTCCTGATTCGTCACGGTGGCGTCTTTGACAGTCACATACGTCGATTTAGCGATGTCAAATCCGTCGGTGTTGTGACCTTCTTTTCCACTCTTCGCGGTACCCTTCAGAAAATGTGCAAAGCGATATTAATATAGAAAGTTTCACGGTTGATGGTTTATTCCACAAGCGACGATACTAAAGAATTTTTAATACAGCCACGTTGCCGCTTCTTCCGAAAAGTAGCGTCAACATTGAAATTTGGGAAAATGGGACACCACGTATATAATTGCATTTGATATGTTCCTCCACCTATCTTTTCGCGAAAATCATCATTTTCTCCATTTTTTCAACCAAAACAGAGCTTCAATTAAATTTTTATTTCTACGACACTGGAGTCAGTAGAAAGAAAAATTTTTGAACGTAGCTTAGGGGAGGTACTGTATATTACTCCTTAATATTGAAATCAGTTCTGTATCATACAGGATTAGTCAAAACTATGGTAAAAAGTGCATTTTTGAAATTTCTATTACTACGACACAGCAGTCAGTAGAAAACTAAAATTTTGTAGATAGCTTAGCGAGGTATGGAATACAAATTCTTAATATCAAAATTAGTTCTACATAATACAGGGTTCGTCAAAACTAATGATTTGCCTACTAGATACAAAAATGTATGTTATCACATATTCTAAGTGCAAATTTGAAATTGGAATGATATACTATGTGCTTATACCTAAATCGCTGGATTTCTAAAATAAAAGCAAAGGACAGAGCAAAAATGTTCTTTCCTTCTATCTGAAAATTTCGCTTCGTTGGTCCAAATAATTTTTGACAGAAAAATAGTGTCGCCCTGAATGCGGACCAAGAATATTTCACAAAAAAACACCCTCTTAGCATAATCATCAACATTCTATGAACGATCCATTTCGATAGACATGAAATTATGCCAAAACGTTTTGTTAAAGATGGAGATATAAATCAGGACACGTTTCATTAAATTTTCTACATAACAAACAAATTTAAAATTTCAATATTGATGCTACTTTTTCGAAGAAGCGGCAACGTCGCAGGATTAGCCTCTAATGTAAAGTCTATTCATAGATATAAGAAAGTGACTAACTGATACGAATTAAGGAAAGACCCGGGCAAGCTGTAAGAATGAAATATGGCCGAACAGGTCCGTACTTTGCTTAGAATTTAATTATTTGGGGTTTTGTTAGGAAAGGTACTAAACAATATTTATTTATTTATGTATGTATTTATGTTTAAATCTAACATAATACAAATTATTTTTATTACCTACTTAAATTACTTAAAATTATTCACATAATATATCAGTATCACTATCGCTATCATCGCCTGTTCTAATTATTATTTGTTCTATGTTATTTGCAATATGGATATACGATTGTTTTGCTGCTGAGGAAGGGGTTTTAGTCAACTGTCTACTGCGATAACTTGCATTGTCCATTACAATGACGCTATTAGTACCAATGTTTGGAACTAATTTGTTTTAAAACCAACTTTCAAATAAATCAGCGGTTGTGTCTTTGTGGTAATCCATAGAAGAATATTTAATATTTGTCGCAGATAGAGAAAGTCCATTTGGAATCCAACCATCTTTAGAGCCAGCATGCAAAACAGTTATTCTTTTACCTCTTTTACCGTTTCACACTCAGTTGAGTCAACCTAACCCTTTTTCGGGGTATCATAAGTGTCGAACCAGGTTTCATCCAAGTAAATAATTGGCCTTTGTTGTTCTCTGTAAATCCTATTTTTTCTAGATATTCCAGTCGCCATTTCCGAATTCTAAAAGATTCCATTAAAACTTGCCTTTTGTCATTTTTTTTAGCCTAAAACCTATGTGTTGAATACACTTCCATAAGGTAGTTCTGCCACATTTAACACCGGTTTCATCTTTTTCAAGACTCCTAATTAAGATATCTAGTGTAGGCACGCTTTGTTCCTCGTATAACTAGTAAATCTACGCCTTATTATATCTTGATCACTTTCATCTACACTCGAGAAAATGTCAGCATTGCTTCTTTTTTTCCTCGCTGAAATGGGATTATTCACAATTTTTCATACAGTTGATGTTGGAATTTTCGTCAATGTGGCCGTTTCTTCTAAAGATACTTGCTTGCTGGCACCACGTGCAATGAGAGTCAAATAAACCTTGTTTATAACTTCCTTAGTCTCAATAGAATAGTGTTTTCTACATTTGGGCGGGAGCATCTCCTGAGATATACTAGACTCGCACATATTTTGCATAATTGGCACACGATTCTACACACGCTGTATTACACATGAGTAGTAGTATACCAAACCAAAGAATATTAAACACAGGGAGGTATAAAATTATTTTCTATTACGGACCACAATTTCACCTGAATTTAAATTCCGAAACTTTAGGTAATAATCTCGTTGCATTGTATGTTAATGACCACCCTTGGATAATCCCATTCAAAAGCAATTGGTCACTTTCTTATATCTATGAACAGACCATACCATCAACCATGAAACACATGAGAAAGGTGGAGGCTCTTTTGAAAACATGACAACAGAATGCTTCACGCAGATGGCTAATAGACGTATGTCAGTGTACAGGGTTTTTTCACCCAACGCCTTTCAATATTTGTAGTCGAGGTAGATTTAATGTGTACTTTTTTTAAAAATATTTTCAAAATAAAATTTTTTCAACCGGAAGTTGCTGTCAGCTTGCTTATTATTATATTATTTTTTTGAAATATTTCACCTTGAACAAAAAATTCTGCCTCCAGCTTTGAAAAATGTTAAAGAAAGCGCTTAAGTTCGCGTTTTTGTTGCTGTTGTTGTCTACTTTTATACAGGGTGTCGAAAATTTGGCCGAAGTCATTAAATTTGTTCAAATGGGACTGCAATTTTCAGTGTTTCCAGAAGTTATTTCTCTAACACTCTGTATTAGGATAGCCTCTACCTAATCCGAACCATATTCGAATTACGCGACAACCAATAACTGGTTGTATGGCATTGTATGTCGGCAGCTGACGCTAACAAAGTAAAAGTTTAAATTTAATATGGAAAAATACTGACATGATGATATTCTAAATTTGTTTAATATTCACGGTGAATGTTACAAAATGCTGACCAATATCTGGTGACCAGAAGAAAGTAACATTAAAATAAACTATTATTTATTTGATTTTATTGTTACATTCTCCTATATTGTTTAGCATTTAGAAATGCAAAGATATATACCGTCCTTTTGACATACGCCTAATAAAAATTCTACATTATTCACCCTTTATAGTATGTGGTCACTATTAAATCCACACTTCTACTTATATCTTATAGGTTGTACTTTTACAGCTTATAATGATTCCTGCAACTACATAAATAAATGAATTATAATTCATGGGACACGTCTTTTCAAATTAAGAAACCTCATGTATGAAAGCCTTCAGGTTATATACAGGACAAGATTTTGTATAATTTAATTTCTGTATATTGTTTAATATAAAATAAAGTTACCTAATACTATATGGTCGACCATTTATGAGGCACGCCTACCTTATTTCAGGAACTAGAAGGGATTAAACACAAAAGTTGATTGGGTGAATTTGCACTTTTCATTTATTATATTTTCATGTGACTTGTTTCGACCTGGCCACTGGCAAAATTTTCATTTTAAATGGAACACATTATATATTAATTGCGGATAAAAAAGATACACTGATCGATTATTTATTTTACAAGACTGGCGCTTATAAATTAAAAAATGTTACATGTATCTCAATTATTGCTTGTCATCTTCAGTACGAATACTATTTTCGAAATGAAATTCGCCCAGTAATACAACTAACTCTGCTGAATTTTTTTATTGGGTACCCTTAAAGATCTAGTGTATTAAAATAAACGAGGAACATGTATTACGTTTGTTATAATATTGTTTGATATTCGATAATAGATATTTTTACCTTTTGGAAGTTCCTTTTTACTTTTCATTTGTTTTTCATCAAAATTCTTAATTAAACGCATCATCTCTATAGATTGTACATTTTTCTGCCGGACTTTCTTGTTTTTTTTTTGTAATTCATTTGGAACATTGTCAATCTAGAGGCACTACGAGTCTAGTCTAGAGTAATATACGGCAATATTTTTTCTTATAAAAATGCAAGTTATGCAAAATAAATAAATAAGTGCATCTTTTTTCATGCATTTTACATTCGTAATGTGCCAATACAGAGTGTTCCATTTGACATAAAAAAGTTGGTAGTGGCCACGGCGAACATAAAAATTTAATAAATGAAAAGGCCAAATTAAGACAATCAACCTTTGTATTTCACTTTTTGTTCAATCTATTCTAGTTCCTGAGATACCCTGTGCATTTTGTTCAAATAAAATTCTACCCCTTTTATGAACAATTTTGACCTGTAGTCCAAAGAAAAGAAAGAGTTTTACATTGAAATCAACGTCAGTCAATGAAAGTACTTGGTGGATAAGTCATTTTTTATGTCGGAGTTTCGTTACTGCTACCATATTTGAAATAGACTTTAAATTTATTCATACCGGGGCGCCTTCGGAATTGTCGATGATGAAACCGCTCACGACTACGTTGTTCGAGCCATCGATGGCAACGCACCTCACAGGACAGTTCTTGATCTTGAAGTTTTTAAAGGTCGAGCCAGTACCTTTCAGGTACATGAATACAGGTTTCTCGGTACCCGCCCCGCCCAAACCGTCCCAGTACTGCTCACCGTGTCCGTGGAACAGGTGACCTAGGGAAATTTAAACCTCTATTTAAAAAAAAAAACGTTTTTGTTTGTCCAGCGCAAACTTACTTCCAGTACCATCCACAGTGATGGAGTTTCCAGAAATCCTAAGGAGATAACCGGACCATTCTTTGTGGGCGAAATCGACCACGCCAGTGAAGGACACTTTGGATCCTTCCTTCAGATTCATTGTCATGGTCATACCAGCGGGTACCGTAAAAGTACCCACGGTAATCGTGGTACAGCTGGACACGACGCTGTCTACATCATTGAACGAATTGATGGTGCAGGAGGCGTCCGGCGTTGGTAAGCTCTGAGCTCCCAAAAGTACACAGCAAAGCGTCAGTGCTAGCACCTCGAACGCCATAGTGATGAATAAGTGGAACTCCATTCAGATTTGACGATCTTTTTATACGAAATTTTCGGGGTACGTTTGTTTACCGAGTACTCATCTCTGGAAAGTACTCAAAGCGGAAAAATTAATTCATTGTTTGCGGTACATAAGATGTGGCGCAATATTAATTACTTGAAATTGTGCGTATCAAAATTCAAGAGGGATAATATTATTGTAAAATATAGGTATGGTCTGTTCAAGGGTGGTCATTAACATACAATGCAACAAGTTTATTACCTAAAGTTTCGGAATTTAAATTCAGGTAAAATTGTGGTCCGTAATAGAAAATAATTTTATACTTACCTGTGTTTAATATTCTTTGGTTTGGTATACTACTTAGTTTAAGTTTATTAGTAATCATTCTTATTTCGTGTATAATACAGCGTGTGTTAAATCGTGTAAGAATTATGCAAAATATGTACGAGTCTAGAGTATCTCAGGAGATGCTCCCGCCCAAATGTAGAAAACACTGTTCTATTGAGGCTAAGGAAGTTATAAACAATGTTTATTTGACTCTCATTGAACGTGGTGCCAGCAAGCAAGTATCTTCAGAAGAAACGGCATCATTGACGAAAATTCCAACATCAACGGTATGGAAAATTGTGAATAATCCCATTTCAGCGAGGAAAAAAAAGAAGCGATGCTGACATTTTCTCGAGTGTAGATGAAGATGATCAAGATATAATACGGCGTAAAATTTACCAGTTATACGAGGAACAAAGCGTGCCTACATTAGATATCTTAATTAGAAGGCTTAAAAAAGATGGAACTGGATTTAAATGTGGCAAAACTACCTTATGGAAGTGTATTCAACACATGGGTTTTAGATTTAAAAAAATTGACAAGAGGCAAGTTTTAATGGAATCTTTTAGAATTCGGAAATGGTGACTGGAATATCTATATTTCATTCTTACAGCTTGCCCGGGTCTTTCCTTAATTCGTATCAGTTAGTCACTTTCTTATATCTATGAACAGACTTTGTATTTTTTAATGGGATAACAAAATAAGTAAGAACTAAAAGTTCAGATTTTCACGAAATTGAATATTTTCACATGACAAGTGTTTCGACAACACCGTGTCTTTATCAAATGTAATATTTACAAACTACCTGCAACTACATGTACCGAAAAATGACCATAAAACCAATATTAATGTTGTTGTTAATTAAGGTTTTATGGTTATTTTTCGGTATATATAGTAGCAGGTAGTTTGTAAATATTACATTTGATAAGGACACGGTGTTGTCGAAACAATTGTCATATGAATATATATAATTTCGTGAAAATCTGAACTTTTAGTTCTTATTTATTTTGATAAATGGATTTTCATCAAGTAAAAGCCACCTCAGTTCAATTAATGCCCGAAAAGAACATTAAAAATTTAAATGAATAAATAGTTTCAAGTGCATTCTTTTTCTCGTTCCATCTCCTAACGCAGGTTGGATATTATCATGGCTATCCTAATCTTGTTAACAGCTGCTCTGAATAGTTGGTTTGATGACATTCTGCCCTTCTGCCCTTGATCTGGCCTTCTATAATGCTCTGAAGTATCGCATATTTAGTCTTTTCTTCTTTTTAGAGAGTTAATTATTCCTGATGTTTCTGGATTCTCTGTAGCAGTTCCTGATTGGAAAATCTCTCAGTCCATGAGATTTTTAACATTCGCCGATAACATCATTTTTCAAAAGCCCCCATCTTGTCCATATCTGCCTTTTCAGTGTCCGTGCTTCTAATCCGTAAAGTAACTTTTTGATCTTTACAAATGCACTCCTGGTTACCTCTATGCGACTTTCGATTTCATGAGACTGCTTCGTTGTTTCGTGTAGCCATGTTTCGTTAATATTTACCTTCTTTGTGATAATCATGTATTTATTTTTCTTAAGGTTCAAGTATAGTCCATATCTTTCACATGTATCATTTAGCCTCTGCAGCAGCGTTTGCAGATCTTCAAGCTTATCTGTAACTATAATGGTGTCGTCCGTATAACGTAAATTGTTTAAAATCTGTCCGTTTATGGTAACACTCTCGCGCTGTTTATTCATAGCTTCAATGGAAATTGGCTATACCACCATATACGTTAAAGAGTAGCGGAGAAAGAATACAAGCCTCACGCACACCTGTAAGACTTGTTGTTTGGTTCCAGTAAAGATTCGCTATGATTCTGATGTCCCGACTATCAATGCTCATGTCCTGTAATATTTCTACAAGTTTCTGGTGTTGAACTTTATCAAACGCCTTTTCAAAATCAACAAAACAGGCGTAGACAGGACCTCTCTAGTCCCCATAACCTTTCTAAATCCTAACTGGCTTTCGCTGCCTTCGGTGTCCAACTTAACGAATATTCCATTATGAATAATTCTTAAAAACATCTTCAAATTGTGACTCATAATGGTTATTGTTCGATGATCGGAACATTCTGTAGCATTTTGTTTCTTAGGTGACGTTATAAATCTAGATGAAAGCCACTGTCTTGGAATAACTCCGGTTAAGTATATGATATTAAAGAGATTTGCGAGGATCATAATTGTGTCCATAATTTTAAGAAGCTCGATCGGTATCTCGCCAGACCAGTCTCCTCAGCATGACCAAGAATCAGGAAATCCCATCTAAATATTTACTGTAGATTTTATAGCAAAGCAGTAATATGACATTTTGAAGGGGCCGATACGATTAATTGAATAAATTTTAATAGGCCAATCTTTAGTTAACGAATTAAATATAATTAATAACTTTATATAAAAATTCCACAAATACCACCAAAGTTTGTTAGGTATAAGGACCTAGAGCATCTTGAGATTGATCTATTTGAATTCAACAGGTAAGGAGACCTAGATTTCCTTGTTTTACGGATGCTTAACTTCCTTCTAAATACAAAAAATCCAAAAATTTAAGACAAGATAAAAAGTACGTAAGTAAGTAAGGTAAGAGAAGAAAAAAAGCCTATCTTGACTTCACTAATCGCACTTTGTCTTTAAAAAAAATGTGGCTAAATCTAGATCATTAACATGTTTAATTAACAAGCATTTTATAGACTCTGTGACTGCAACTTTTAGGAGTTATTTAAGTTCAAAGCATAGTCTGGGCTTTATCCCAACTAAACACAAAGGTTAATAAAAAAAATGGAACTAATCATATCACGTGTATCATTTGCAAAGTTAAACACATCCTTCACGATTTGTTAACCTGAGATATTTATCGGCTGCTAACGCAAAATAAATGTCAGTATCAGTATATAATGACGTAAACCTAATAGGAGCACGTTTATGAGTAGGTGGGTATAACAGAAATAAACATTAACACACGCATTGAATTTTTTTTTATCAGAGACACTACTGGCTTCTATCTGAAATGAAGAGTCGATGCAATCCTGGGACAAGGAAGTGGAGATGGTGGGGTTGTTATTAGGGTGTTTGAAGTTTTCGATAGGAGTATTCTGTTGGGAACTTTACTGCCTTCTCATATGCGAATAGATTCATGGATTGAACTGAGATGGTTTTTAGTTGATGAAAATCCATTTATCAAAATAAATAAGAACTAAAAGTTCAGATTTTCCCGAAATTATATATTATGACATGACAATTGTTTCGACAACACCTTCTTCTTATTTATTTTTCTAAAAAATTAATAGAGTTATCCTGTTCAATCTCGATAGTGAATTTTATAAGATTATGTAATAAGTTAATGTAATTTAAAAAAGAATTCAATTGTCTGTCCGCTCCAACAAAGCAAGCAAAGACATCATCCACGTATCTATACCACCATAGAAAACTTTTACTAAAGGATGTTCTAGTATGATATTTTCCAAATTATCCATAAAAATCTCGGGTAACAAAGGACTAAGTGGGTTTATCATAATCAACCCTTCCTTAGAATTGGCCATTAAATTGAAAATAATTTTGGTCTACAGATTACTATTAAGCAATCTAATAAATCTTGTTTCACCAATGGGTTAACTACTAAATCTATCACATCCATAGGTGGAATACTGGGAAATAAGTTTTGTACGTCAAAAGACAATAGTGTTGCGTTAGAAGTGATTTTGATATCTTTAATATTGTTGATTAATTCAGAAGAATTTTCTATTGCAAAGTTTGGTTTAAAATCTGTGTGGAACTTTAAAATATTTACTAATTATGTTGAGGGTTTAACTGCTGGAGCTGTTACATAAGACACGACGGGTCTAATGGGCATATCTTGTTTAAGTAATTTAACTAAAGAATATAATTTCGACGGTTGGGGATTTATAATTCTTAAAAAATTTTTGTCATTGTCACTAAATACGAGGTCTGTCAATTAGATTCCCGGAAAAGTGGCAACACTGCGACTCTCGTTATGCTACGGCGTTCGCGTTGTGTCATTCGAAAGAGGATTCATTTCTGCGTCAGTCTGTGCAAGTTTCGTCTCGATCGGTTGTTCAGTTCGTGTGTTACAGTACTTTGATCATCGGCGTGTTTGGACCCCTTGTCGCGAAAATGTGTGCTAAAAAAACTGAACAAAGAGTAGTGATCAAATTTTTGGTCAAACGTGGTGTAAGTTCCGCGGAAATTATGAAACAGTTAACCGACGTGTACAAGGATGATTGCCTGAAAAAAACAGCTGTCTACGAGTGGGCTAAGCGGTTCAGGGAAGGCAGGGAGTCGGTGGAGGACGATTCACGTGAGGGAGCTGCCTCCACCTCTCGAACGGCACAAAACGTCGATCGCCTGCGCGTGCGTGTGCTCGGAGACCGTCGGGTAAGCCTCAGAATGTTGGAAGACGAGTTGGGTATCAACAAGGAAACCATTCGACAGATGCTACACGAGGATTTAGGGATGCGCAAGTTGTGCGCG